TAAATGGAGAGAGAGAGAGCGGCTATGGCCATGTGGGTATGTGGTGTGTATATGTGTGATGATAAAAAGGGCATTTGCCTTTGTGGGTACCTCATTGGTTAAGCGCTCACGTTCCTTGCTTCTTTTCTCTCTCTCTCTCTCTCTCTCTCAATTTTTTTATTTTTTTTGAAAAAAAATTTTTTTACACTTATTAAATTCTTTTAAGTGTTTTTAATTTCTCCAATGCATGCACTCTTTTTAACTTTTCGCATACCTATTACAAACAGTGAGTCTCCTTTTTGCTTTCTCTTTCTTGACTTCTCATTTCTACACTTTCAACTTTAGTGACCATGTATGCAAATAGTAAGTCTTCTTTCGTTTTCTCCTTCTTGACTTTTCTTTTTATTTATTGTTTTAATATTGTAGTTAGATAGCGTATAAAAATATTTGTGATTTGTCTAGCGAATAAAAAATTATAATTTGATTTTTTAATATGATTGAAATTAGATAAATATAAACCATTACAAAGAGAAAAATGTGATTATAATTAGTTGAATGATTTTTTTTCAACTTTAGTGACCACGTATGCAAACAGTAAGTCTTCTTTTTGTTTTCTCCTTCTTGACTTTTCCTTTTGTTTACTGTTTTAATATTGTAGTTAGATAGCGCATAAAAATATTTGTGATTTGTATAGCAAATAAAAAATTATAATTTGATTTTTTAATATGATTGAAATTAGATAAATATAAACCATCACAAAGAGAAAAATGTGATTATAATTAGTTGAATGATTTTTTTTTAGTGTGATTGTAGTTAGTTTAATATTTTTTTTCACTTATTTATTTTATTATGGGAAAAATGTGATGTGATTGTAATTTGTTCAATGATTCTTTTTTTTAATATAATTGTTGTAGTTAGTTGAATGATTTTTTTTAATGTTATTTAATTTTTTTATTTACTATTTTAATTTTATTTTTGATTTTTTAATATGATTAAAGTTAGATAAATATAAACCCTCGAAAAGAGAAAAATGTGATTATAATTAGTTGAATGATTCTTTTTTTTTTTAATGTGATTATAGTTAGTTTAATAGTTTTTTTTTTCATTTATTTATTTTATTATGAAAAAAATGTGATGTGATTGTAATTTGTTCAAGGAAAATTTACCCATAAGTCCTAATTTTTGAAACGTTGAACCATTTAGTCCTAAAAGTTTTCTTATGCTCCATTTAGTCCCATTTTTACATCAACATGATGTGAATGATGTAAATGATCTGATGTTTCATTCTATAATTTCAAAATTTATTGAAATCTGATGAACATTAGATGTTTTTCATCCTATATTTTCAAACATTATTGAAATTTGATGAACATTAGATGTTTGAAATCCAATGTTTGTAACATGACTCTGATGTTATTAACATTGTATCTGATGTTATTAACATTGTAATGGGACCTTTCAGTCTATAAGAAAATTTTTAGGACTAAACAGTGCATAAGTTATTAATTTGGGATTTATTGGTGCATCCCCCTTTGTTCAATGACTATTTTTTTTATTATGATTGTTGTAGTTAGTTCAATGGTTATAAAAATATTTGTGATTTGTCTAGCGAATAAAAAATTATAATTTGATTTTTTAATATGATTGAAATTAGATAAGTATAAACCTTCACAAAGAGAAAAATGTGATTATAATTAGTTGAATGATTTTTTTTTAATGTGATTGTAGTTAGTTTAATAGTTCTTTTTTTCATTTATTTATTTTATTATGGGAAAAATGTGATGTGATTGTAATTTGTTCAATGACACTTTTTTTTTAAATATGATTGTTGTAGTTAGTTCAATGGTTTTTTTTTTAATGTTATTTAATCTTTTTATTTACTATTTTAATTTTATTTTTGATTCTTTAATATGATTGAAGGTAGATAAATATAAACCCTCACAGAGAGAAAAATGTGATTATAATTAGTTGAATGATTTTTTTTTTTTAATGTGATTGTATTTAGTTTAATAGTTTTTTTTTCCATTTATTTATTTTATTATGGAAAAAATATGATGTGATTGTACTTTGTTCAATGACTCTTTTTTTTAATATGATTGTTGTAGTTAGTTCAATTTTTTTTTAATGTTATCGAATATTTTTATTTACCATTTTAATTTTATTTTTAATATGATTGAAGTTAGATAAATATAAAGCACTCACAAAGAAAAAAATGTGATTGTACTTAATTCAATGATTTTTTTTTAATGTGATTGTAGTTAGTCAATGGTTCTTTTTTTCATTTATTTATTTATTTTTATTATGGAAAAAATATGATGTGATTGTAATTTGTTCAATGGTTCTTTTTTTAATGTGATTTAATCTTTTATTTATTGTTTTAATGATTTTTTTTTACAATTATTTATGAAAAAAATATTATGGTAGTTAGATAGCATAGAAATATTCGTGACTTGATTTGATTTGATTTGATTTTTTTTATTTGATTTTTAAAGTACCAATTATTGTTAATGATTAGATTGTATTTTGAAAAAAAAATTGTAATTGATTTTTTTAACTTACTGTGTTTTTTGAAAAAAAATTATTTTGTTTTTTTAACTATCAATTCACGTAATTTGTGATTTGATTTTTAACTCACTGTATTTTTTGAAAAACAAAATGGATTGTACTCATTAGGGTCACATAATGTACCAATTATTTATGATGATTAGATTGTATTTTGACGAAAAAAAAATATAATTGTAGATTGATCTGAAGAATGTCTATACCTTTCAGAAAGTAAAAAAAAAAAAATGTAAGTATAACATTTTTACTTTATAACATTTTATAAATACATAATATATGTATTGTTCATTAATTATAATACTAAATATATATATTTTTATCTTTTTTTAGTTACATCACCTCTCTATGTTTTTACACATTTTTTTGTAAAAATTCAAAAAATATAGTTATTTCGATCATATTAAACCCAAATCCACTGATAAGCATTTAAAATCCCATCATATAAATAATATAAATAATTATAGATACAACCCGTGCATAGTTACTGCAATATTTTTTCAACTTCTCCCATACACTACGGTTAGTGATAAGATTGTTAAATTATTATTATGAAAAATCTTTAAAAAAATAATTTATATATTAAAAAAAATCTAAATCAAATATAAATATCTATAATTATCTCGTGCATAGCACGGGTGATAGGCTAGTCTATATATAAGCAAAAGGGGGTTTCTAACCCCCAAGCCTTGTGGAAGTTTTAATATCCCAATCTTAATTTTCTAAATTTTTGATTTAAAAAAAATAAAATATCAGCATTTATTAACTTTTTTCAATCCACATACTTGCATTTATTGATTTGGTCAAAATCTCCTGATCAGCATTTATTAACTTTTTCTAATCCACGTGTCTTTTGAGAGCTTTAGTCAAAATCCCCACATACAAATAATTATAGATAGAGCCCGTGCATAGTTACTGTAGCACCTTTTCACCTTCTTCCATACACTATGGTTAGTGATAAGATTGTTAAATTATTTTTTATAAAAAATCTAAAAAAAATAATTTATATATTAAAAAAAATCTAAAACAAATATAAATATTTATAATTATCCCGTGCATGGCACGGGTGATAGGCTAGTACTATATATTAAGCAAAAAGGAGTTTTTAATTCCAAGTCTTGTGGGAGCTCCAATCTCTCAATCTAAATTTCTTGATTTTTTGATTTAAAAAAAAAACCTTAGTAATTATTAACTTCTCCCAACCCCAAATCTTACCCTCATAATAACACTTTAATGCATTAAAAACAAGTATAAAAAAAATTCTTTGAAATCCAACACACATAAATTTCTTGAAAAGTCCCAACACATATGATTATTATTCCTTATAATAACACTTTAATGCATTAAGAACAAACATAAAAAAAATTTCTTGAAAAGTTCAACATACATGATTATTATCAAAATATTAAATTTTAATATAATATAATAAAAAAAAGACATTTAATTCATTGAAAAGTCTAACATATATGATTATTATCAAAATATTAAACTTTAATATAATATGAAAAAAAAGAAAAAAAGAAGATATTTAAAAAAAAAAAAGACATTTAAAAATTACAATTCACATATATAAATAATTGTAAACATAATCTGTACATACCACGTGTAATATGCTAGTTTTTAATTAAAGCAACTTCCGATAAATCCACATATGAGAATATGTCAATTGGCGATCTATCATTAACTGTCGTGTTTTAAATCAGTGTTTACTGCAATACCCTTATTTTTTTGTCCTCGGATGATTGCGAGGTCGGCTCCGACCTGAGCAGAAACCCCTTTTTCAACACATATGCAAACCCCAAGAACAAGAAATACACCAACAACAAAACACAACAAAACTACAAAAACCCCAACCACTACCGCAGCAACTAGAATAATGTAAAATACAACTACCACAACAAGTATAACCACCTAGAAAGAAAAGCAATCACAAACAACTAAATAGAACAGAAGGAAAGGTTAGGTTGTCTCAACTCTCGCTGGAAATCTAAGTCAAGATTCAACCCTCCCAATCAAAATAAAATACTAGAAGGTTTCATGGAATAAAATAACGTAAGAAAATGATACTATTTTTTTAGCGTGTACTAAAATTTTAGGGAAAAGAGAGCAATTTAAAATTTCCTTTTGTGGAACAAGTTTTGAAGAAAACTTATTTTAGTGCGAATTCAAGTCTCACAACTATCTTGTTAACTAAACTTATGGAGTGACTGATTTTTTTTTGTATTTTGCTTTCTTTTTCTCATAACTAAACTTATGAGTGTTGATTTTTTTTTTTCGTATTTTCCTTTCTTTTTTTCTTTTTCTAACAACGGAACGGAGCCTGGCACAAGCGAATCTGTAGGTTAGTGTCACCACTTACCACAGCCTTATCTTTTCTGGTTGAGGGCTTTAAATCTTTGTCAAAGTGGCAATAGCTCTTACCACAAGTTATGAGATAAGTGAAAAGAAACCATGCAGGTCAATGACAAAAGAGAAAAATTATAGTGATGGATTAACTTCATTGAACCATGGTGATAATTTTGGGGTGACCGTCTCCCAACATCAGTTTGATCCAATTCTGAGAAGGCTTCCCTAATATTGATACATATCATTAACTTTAATATTCAAATTTGTATTCAGAAATAAACAAACATAAAACAAACAAACAACTACATCTTCCATCACATTTCCTTTTTACTCGTAACTTCAAATTTGAAGTAAACCTGATATAAATCAGTGTGAACCTTTCCTTCTTACCAGTGTCTCTCCAGTCAAGGTAGTTTACCCCCTTTTAAATGCTTTTTTTTGCATGCCCATATAAGAATCTGTTGTGTGCCAAAGATTATCAGATTTTTTATTTGCAGCCATAACAAAACCCAAGTATTGCAGTCGCCACCACCACCACCACCACCTCCACTTGCAACTCTATTCTTTCTAATGTTTCCTTTCATCGTTAGCACCTCCATCTTCATGCAAGTGTTCAGGATCATCCTGTAAAGGCTTTTGGGGAACTCCCCACCCCCGAATCTCATTCCTAGACTCTTCTTGAGCAGAAGGCAGGTTCATGTAGTCTTTTGCTCTTCCCTTGGTATCAAAAATTCAAACCACATATCAGAAATGGATATGAAACTTAATACAATATATAATATGTATTCTCAGTGGATGGATACAAAACATATACGATATATATATATATATACATCATATGTAAGATGTATCATCTGTGGGTCAAGTGGAGAGAGTACCTCTTCAAAGACTCTTTCATCGTGCTTCAGATGTGTTTCTTTTTTTCTAGTGACAGATGAAAGATTCTTCGAAACCTCACTAAATAACTTGAAGCCTTGAAAATCTCCATTTTTAATACTCGCTTCTAGCTGCCAATGTAAAGAACTGTGAATCAAGACACTAACAAACAATTGAGAAATTTTGAGCAAGATAATTGCTGCTTCATAAACCAGCCACTAAAGAGGAATTGGGAAATATCCACCTGAATGTGAATAATGCAGAAGAAAATGCTAGCAATAGGCAGCCAGCTCTCCTCAGGCGACAGAGACAAATTTGACCTATAAACACAAGAAGCTTTGTATTAAATCCAGCATTCTGGTAAGTTCCATATGTTCTAATTAACCATCAAACATGCACTCGATATTACTATCTAGTCAGGAATATCATAATGCCCAAGTTTTTTGTTATTAAGAACACCAGAATAAGTATAATTAAAAAACATATAATTTTCCCCTTTTCCAAGCATTTAAGGTTGTGTTTGGATCATGGATTTTAGTAGGGATTTTGAAAGGAAAAGGAAAAGGCCAGAGATTTTGAATTCTAGATGTCATTTCTCCTCCTCCTTTTCAATGACTTCTTATAATTTTGCCCAAAAACAAATCTAACATTTTCTAAAGTAGAAGGGAGAACATGAAAAATGGTTTTCCTCGCACTTTTTTCCCCCCTTCTCCCTTATCATGTCCAAGTAGCATCGTTGAACTTACACATTAACCAAATTCAAAAAGTCAGTTAAACACAACAAATAATCTCATTGTTTCAGCTTATACGGTTGACAGTGACACAGCAAGAACAGACATAATTAACATAAGATTTGTTGCATGTAATCACAGCATAAGCAAAATTTGAAGTACAATATTACATTCAGCCTAAGAAAAGAAATAGAAAAACAGCTATTCAACTGGCATTTATAAGCCATTTCCAAGTAATCTAACAGTGGGTATATTAAATTCTTTTCAGAATAAATAATTACATTTCTTCCAGTTCTGAAAATTAACCTGTGGTCAAGATAAGCCTTGAATTATCATTATTCTAATGTTGATATGTGAAATCATTCAACCATTTGCATGACACCCAAAAGCAACTTCTCTCATTGGCTTCGTTTGGGAAGTGGCTATTTTTTAGGCTTTTTGGCTATTTAGCTATTTTAGTAGGCTATTTTAGTTTTTGTGTTTGGGAAGATATGATGAATTTTTATTTGAGTTGTTGTATTGAAAAATGTGTTTGAAATGATGTTTAAATTGAAATGACAAATTTGTCCCTGACTTTATTTTTTTCGAAATTACTGTGTAGGGGTAATATTGTAATTGCACCTGTTTGCAGCCTACACTGTTGGTGGCAGTGTAGGCTGCGTTGCTGCAGCAGCCGAATCATTTGACTTATTTTTTTTATTTTTTTTTATTTTTTTGAAAATCATGCACAGGAAGTAGAAGGGAGAACATGAAAAATGGTTTTCCTCGCACTTTTTTCCCCCCTTCTCCCTTATCATGTCCAAGTAGCATCGTTGAACTTACACATTAACCAAATTCAAAAAGTCAGTTAAACACAACAAATAATCTCATTGTTTCAGCTTATACGGTTGACAGTGACACAGCAAGAACAGACATAATTAACATAAGATTTGTTGCATGTAATCACAGCATAAGCAAAATTTGAAGTACAATATTACATGCAGCCTAAGAAAAGAAATAGAAAAACAGCTATTCAACTGGCATTTATAAGCCATTTCCAAGTAATCTAACAGTGGGTATATTGAATTCTTTTCAGAATAAATAATTACATTTCTTCCAGTTCTGAAAATTAACCTGTGGTCAAGATAAGCCTCTTATTATCATTATTCTAATGTTGATATGTGAAATCATTCAACCATTTGCATGACACCCAAAAGCAACTTCTCTCATTATATTGCTAAAACTGTTATGTGGGTCTAGATTTCCACAAAACCAAACACAGCCTCAAGCAAATACTTAAATCAAATGTGATTAGATGATGCATTATAGTGCCCAAAGAATTATCCGCTGAAACTTCAAATTCTCAACTTCAAGCATTCTAAGTTAATGTATGAACCAATTACTAAGTCATCCTCTCTCTGCCTTACAATCACTGGCCAAAAAGATTTCAAGTCAAATTTAACACATTCAATTCAAGTAAGATAAGTCTGGAGTCATTTGACTATCGCAATTGAAATCCATTTGGAAGGTGAGATTAAAACCTCAAATAGGGAGCCAAGTATACAAGTGAATACACGACATAGCGCCGCTTCCCAGTATCCAACCAGGCAAACACCCAGCTCTGTCAATCAAAAAAGAAAAAGAAAAAAATCAAAACAAGAAGAACAAATTCAATGAGGAGTTAATTTCATATTTATACCCAAAACTTGCCTTCATTTTCTTTTTTTTCTCTCCTTTTTTCCCCTTTTTTCCCATCCGTAAACTATTAATTTTATTTATTTAGTCCCTAAATTTATAATCTCTGTTCATTAGGTTTGTCCAATTGGAAATGATTGTACAAATCAGTAACCATTAAACTTTAATTTAATGATTAAAAAGATAATTTTCTAATTTGAACAACTTAAATCATAATCAAACACCCAGTACGAAAAATGGGTGAGGTATAATTTGTTCAAACTAGTACGAAAAATGGGTGTTTTGTAGGATATAAGTTGTTGAAATTCTGAAATAAACCTTAAACCATTATTAATTTGTATAAATGTCTTCAATTAGACCAAAGTAACATAAATCAAAAACTTTAAAGCAGCATAAATAGAAAAAAAGAGGGATAATTTAGGGGATAAAAAGTGAAATTAACCCTTCAATGAGAAATAAAATTTGAAATACATAGATATGAAAGTATATGTATAGTGAAAGTGTGTAAGAAAGTCTCACAAGCCAATTGAAGTAAGGAATGAAACTCATGATCCCCATAACAGCGAACCTCGCATCAGTGGAATCGATCAAGGAGTCGCCTTGGTCGTCATCGTCAGGACCGGAAGTGATCGGAAAGACGACCGAATTGAGAATGCAAGCACCGATTGCGACGGCGAATGGCGCGTCTTGAGAGAACTCGGCTCTACAACACGTTCCATTTCTGGTCCTTTTCTATACACCAAATCACAAAACTTAGGGTTACACAAACACGGAGAGAGAGAGAGAGAGAGAGAGAGAGAGAGAGAGAGAGAGAGATTTGCTTACCAGGTAGGGTTTTTTGGGAGGTTTGAGAATGGATATGAGAGATGGCTTGAAGGAGGAGAGAGAAGCAGCAGAGGATAGGGAGAGAGTGTTGTTGAGACAGAGAGAGATCATTTGCGAGGCTTTGAGTTTGAGCTGAGGGTAGCATCAATTTCAACTCTTTTTCAAAACTTCATCACCAAACACAAAAAAGTCCACTAGATCCAGTTTTTTTTTTTTTTAATCGCCTTTACTGTACGATTTCAAATTTCAATATTGCATTTTTAATTTATAGTTTTATTGTTATGGATAAATTATAAATATATTCTGATATTTAATTAAGATACAAATTGCCTTTGTGTTCTGAAAATGACATTCTACTTTCGAGATTTTTAATTTTATAATAAATTATCTATTTTATTAATAAATTATCAAGTTAATAATAAATTATTAAGTTAATTAACAATTTTTAATAATGTTATAAATATGTTTCGATTAATAATTTAGGTAATTTTATTATTGTATAAAAGAACAATTATAAATTTTATTTTTTTAATTAATTTTATTAAATAAAAAATTTTGACAATAAAATATTCGTAATTTTTCAAATCATAAAAACAATCTATACATTAAGCAAACTTCAAGAAGTATATTTATAATTTATCATTTTATTAAAAATAAGTAGGTGTTTCGAGTAAACTAAAAAAGTGTACTTTTTTTTTTTATTACCTATAACACTTATTTGGGTCATATTTATTAATATTTATTCCCTACTTTTCTAACCACTTTTTGTACTTTCTACACATTTTTTATAAAAAATCAAAAAATACACTTAGGCCTTGTTTGTCATAACTTAAAAAATTCAAAAAATCAAAAAATTAAAAAGTCATTATCCTATTTAAATCACATTATCTTATTTAAGTCACATCATATCTCTACCATATCACTTTAAACTCAACCCATATTTCATAAAAAATCAAAAAATACACTTATTTAAATCATACAAAATCACTCCTTACTTTGAACATCCTAAATCACCCCTAAATATGTTTTAAATATATAATGTTAAAGGCTTCACTAGTCCATTAATTCAACTTTAAATTTTTAACCGTCCATGTGTCACATAAGGGGTGTTTGGCAGGTTATTTTTTTTATTTATTAAAATAGTCCATAAATAAAGATAAAATAGATTAAATTAATTAATATAATAAAATGTCATATTTCAATCATAATTATTTTATTTTTTCTCTCACAATTATCAAATTAACTGCTGTACGGGAAAGAAATAAATCTTCTCGTATAATCCTGTTGATCAAGTCTGCGCTCTTCCAAACGTCATCGCTTTACTCCCTGAAAACACAAACGTGAGCTAGCCGGCGGGTGTGTGCCGGAAACCTCTCCGATGCCTAAGTCAGTAAGCTTGACAAATAGACAAAAGCTCTGTGTATTCAGAAAACAAAGTTGTGTGTTACCTCTCCCAAGGTGATGTTTGTGAGCTTTTATAGGTTTTTGTGTGGCACAATCCTAGTAGGACTTCTACTCCTCCATGCAGAGTCCTCCTAGGATTCATACTCCTGAAAGATAATGCTTATCCTTCAACACCCCCTCACTGCTTAAACCAAGTGAGACGGTTTTTACCATGGCCGAACTCCAATATGACCGAAGTAATCATGATCACGCCGAGCCACAGAGTAGACCGAACTATCGTTAGTTCGGTTCCACCTTCAGTGTTCTTACCCCAGTTCCTCCATTGTCAACAGTGTTAAGTCTAAACCGATCTAACTTCTAGCAAGGCTTTTAGACCGAACTAACCATACTGTGCCTTAACCGATATAAGTTCAACGCATCTTTAAACCAGTCTACAAAGGGTCCTTCAACTGGACAAACATCAAGAGTAACTCGGACCGGTCTACCTTCTGGGCTTGAGATCAGGCTAACTTTAAACCTCTTCAAGACCGGAGTAACTTTATGGCCTCTTTACTCAGCCCTTCGTACTGAGGCCCATAAAGGCCCAGCTCGACCCAATTTCGCATATAAATTACCCTCTCAACTGCCAAAAAAATTAACCAACCTCTCAAACATAATTTTTTTAATCACATTAAATAGCCAAAAATTAAAAAACTAACTTCCCAAACGAGCCGTTAATTGTGTCCAAAAGGATACACTTTGACGAAGTGAACAAACTACCCCTTTCGTCGGTGGAGTCATGCTTATTACCCATGCATAGCATTCCTCCTTATCTTATTTGTACAAATTTGTTTCTCCCTCTCTATTCAACAAACCTATTTCTCTCTCTCTCTCTCTCTCTCTCTCTCTCTCTTCATGATTTCTTTGCCTATATCTCTCATCTCTTAATCACCAAACCCATCTTCTTATCTATACAACTTTCTCTCTCTGTAAAACCCCTCTATCATCTTCACCATTCACATTCTCCAACACATACACACACATACACACACACACACACACATATATATATATATTTGATGAGCTCAACAGCGGCAATGAGGTCGTCGATGATGTTGGCTATGACGAAAAACTCGAGGACGATAAAGGTGGAGAAGTGATGGGGTCTTCGAGGTCCTGGCAAGCGGAGAGGGGCTCAGAGTGAAGCCAGATGATAGAGGCGGAGAAACAATTGGCACTACTGAAGGTGGAGGAGAAGATGTCGGTGATGGCGAAGAACTTAATAGCGGCGTCAAGGTAGTGTTTGAATCATCAAGGGCTGAAATGCAAACAGAATAACATCAAGGGCTGGGTCAAGACACTATTGAAGATCATTGTGTGATTCTCAAAGAATACTTAGATCAAAGTAGGAGACATTTTACTTCTTCAATATTATTAATAATCCTTTTTTTTTTTAAATGATTAATATAAAGAGCCAGTCTTTATTCATGTACTTAACAGATCAAGAAAATCTTTACAACTGATCGAATGATTGCCAATTTAGTACTTGAAATGGAGGTTACTTCTGCAATCATAGAGCAAATCTCTAGTGTCAATGAACAACTTCAAAAGGCGACAAATCAACGAAGGCTTTATGTTATGCTCTTCTTGCCTACTGTGTTTGCACTCCTAAGACTAATTTTGGTGCTGCTTGATATGATTCATAAAGCACTAAGAAGATGGATTAATTGCAGATTTCTATGGATTAATATTATTTTTGCCCTAGTTCAGATAGCAGCCACTTTAATCTATTTTATTTTTTTACAATTTTATGAAAGAAAATTACCTTATCAAATTTTCATTCATTCCCATAATATCTGCACCCATCATCGTGGTTTCAAGATTTAGTCCTCAACAAACGGACACCATTAAAGCCCATTACCACCATCCAGCCTTTATTGGGCACCACCACCACCCAAAAGGGTGGTTTCTTTGTACAGATCATTGTTTCTAGTAATCATCTCTCTGTCTCTGTTTTTTTTTTTTTTTTTTTTTTTTTTTTTTTTTTTTTTTTTTTTTTTTTAAATTTGTACAGATCATTGTTTCAATAAATAAATAATAAAAAAATATTGAAGATTGTGATTGCTTTGTTGAACCGATAAGAAAAAAAATAGATTAAAAAAATTCAACGGACAAAAAATATGTCAACAGATAGGTTAAAAAATTTAACAAATAAATTAAAATTTTCAACCGATAGAATAGAATAAAAAACTCAACATATAGAATAAAAAATTTCAACAGGTAGTTATTTATAAAAACTAAAAGGGTAAAATTATAAACAAAATGTCCTCAAAAATAATAAAATGTACTTTTCACCACAATATTTCACAAAAAGTGTACTTCTAACCAAAAGAAAATACCCAACAGACTTAGCCTCCGTTTGGGAAGTGGGTTGGCTTTTTGACTTTTTTGGCTATTTTAACCTGGGCTAAAAAGCTTGGTTTGGGAAGGGTTTTTTGGCTTTTTGGCTTTTTTGACTTTTTTTGTGAGAGAAGAGTGTAATGATTATGGGTTAGATGTGATGTTTTGTTTTTTGTGGCTAAAATAGCTTATTTTGTCTTTTGTGACTAAAATAGCCAAAAAAGCCCACTTTAATTCTTTTCACACACTAGTTTTATCTATTGTTATCTATTCCATGTTTTATGTATATTTATTTCTAACATCTCTCATTTTCATTACTTATGATATTGTACACACAACCAATTTCAATAAATAAATAATAAAAAAAAATTGAAGATTGTGATTGCTTTGTTGAACCGATAAGAAAAAAAATAGATTAAAAAAATTCAACGGACAAAAAATATGTCAACAGATAGGTTAAAAAATTTAACAAATAAATTAAAATTTTCAACCGATAGAATAGAATAAAAAACTCAACATATAGAATAAAAAATTTCAACAGGTAGTTATTTATAAAAACTAAAAGGGTAAAATTATAAACAAAATGTTCTCAAAAATAATAAAATGTACTTTTCACCACAATATTTCACAAAAAGTGTACTTCTAACCAAAAGAAAATACCCAACAGATTAATGCCTTACACCCTTTTTAAATTGAATTTTTTACCAATTTTTTTTATAATTTTAATTATTTTACATATAAAATCTCGTTACAATCGTATTTTAAAAAAAATACCATTTTATGTATTTTGAAAACACAATCTAATAAAACAACTTAAGTTCAAAAAATTAGTTTTCAAAATCCTACATTTAGTTGATATATATATATATATATACATATTTAAAAAAAGAATAAAGATTGGGACCCCCTTTCTCCCACTCCCTTTTGACCCCCTTTCTTTTTTGATTGGTCACTTTTTCTTTTTCTTTTTCTTTTTTTTTCTCCTCCTCCAATCACCACCCGCTACGTGTGTGTGGGGGGTGGTGGGGGTTGAAATTTGAGGAGGTCTAAATCACTGCTGATTAAAAAAAATTGAGTCTGGTAAACAACTTTGGAAGGATTGTTTCAACAATGCTATAATAATTTTTTGTTTTTTAGTTTATCAAGTTTTATTTGGAAAATTTGGAAAAATTGACTCAATTTCAAACTATTGAAACAATAGGAAAGAATTAAAAAATATGACAAATTATACTTGTAATCCATATAATGTGTTTGTTGCGAGTAATTCTAGTTTTACACACTAAATTTTCTCACAATATATTGTTTGGGGTGTGCTATATAAACACACTTTTTATCTTTTTATTTTTTGGGATCACATCACCTCTCTACTTTTCTGTACATTTTTTTTCATAAAAAATCAAAAAACATACTTATTTAGATCATTCCAAGGTTGGGATGATCTAAACAAATACACTTTGACGCATAAAAAATAAAAATATTTTCAGTAAACATCTATTGTTTTTTATCCACTCACTCTTCCTCTATTGAAAAATTTACAATGTCGTCGCCGTCACCACCACTTTCAACCCTCAATCACCACTCCCAGCCTATCATTGCTCCAGTTTAGACCTCTAGAATCCACTCTTACTGCCCACCATCCCTTCAAAACCCTAACCTTTGCGACCCTCTCTACCATGATCCCAACCTCAACAAACCTTTCTATTGCCATGAACCCAATGGCAACAAACTCTAGATTCAATCAAAGATTGATATCCGACCAAGCCCTATAAGTTCGGATGTGTGTTGAGAAATTAAAATTTGATAATTTAATTAAAGGATCAAAATGTGATTTTGAAAAAATTTATAATGTGTGCGCTCTGAAAGGATTTGGTGTGTAGAAATAGAATTACTCATCTATTGCGTCAATTTAATCCTTATAATTCCAATTGTATTAGTTTTGCTCTTCAATTTTTCATATTGTCTCTGTTTGATCCAATTAATGACATTTATTAAGAATGTTGACAAAAATTAAAGTAAAATGATTCATTCAAAAGAGAATGAATCATTTCAAATTGGCCACCAAGCTCCCAATCACTTTTGAGAAAAGTAAATACATTATTTTGTCCATTGATTTCAATCTAATTTTTAAAGGTACATTATCAATTGAATTAAATTGATACAATTAAAAATACAAGAACGAAATTAATATAAGAGACAAACTATAAGGACTACAGATGTAAATAGTTCTAAAAAAATATTTGCAACATGGAACATCAAAATTAATTTTAAAAATATAATAAAATTACATTTTTACCCCTATTTTCCTTCATCTCCTCTTTCTTTCTCCTCCCTCAACCACTAGCCACCCACAACCCTTCCCCTACTATTTTCAACCACTACCAACCTCCCTCCTCCGCCTTCCTCTGCCTTCCCTACCCATTTTCCCACCTTCTACAGTTGCCAATAACCCCTTCTTTACTCCACCCAATTGCCAACGACCCCTCCATTGCCCCTTTCCCACCTTGTGGTACCCCCAACCCTTCTCCACCCACTACCAACCCCTCTCATCCACCTTCAGCCCTTTCTACGCCACTGCCACCCATCACCACAACGCCCATACCTTCCTCACATCAGCATTCTCTCATTAACCACCAACGTGAAATGAGATATCAAAACCCATATATATATATATATATATATAAAGAGAGAGAGATAAACCTAATCGCAGTGGATGCTTGAGTGTTGTAGTGGTTGTCAACTAATCACGATGTTGACTAGGGCTAAGAATGGTTGTTCGGATACACTATGGTGCAACAAGGTAGAGGGTTAGGAGTGGGCAATAGGAGGTTTGGGAAGGGCTAGGATTAGGTAATGATGGTAGTGGGGAAATGGGTTAAGCCTTGCGGTGATGGAGGCAGAGAAAGAGGTTAGAGTTAAAGGGTGACAATGGGATTGCCAACAACTGAGAGGTGCAGAGAAGTATAGAGGACTAGCCAATTGCTAGAAAAGTGTGGTAAGGAGGAACATAAAAAGAGATGGGAGGAAGAGGGCAAAAGTTAAACAAGCATGTAAGATTTATCATGCTTTTGTAATTAAAATTTAAGTTGCCATCTGTCACCTAATCACGATGTTGACTAGGGCTAAGAATGGTTGTTCGGATACACTATGGTGCAACAAGGTAGAGGGTTAGGAGTGGGCAATAGAAGGTTTGGGAAGGGCTAGGATTAGGTAATGATGGTAGTGGGGAAATGGGTTAAGCCTTGCGGTGATGGAGGCAGAGAAAGAGGTTAGAGTTAAAGGGTGACAATGGGATTGCCAACAACTGAGAGGTGCAGAGAAGTATAGAGGACTAGCCAATTGCTAGAAAAGTGTGGTAAGGAGGAACATAAAAAGAGATGGGAGGAAGAGGGCAAAAGTTAAACAAGCATGTAAGATTTATCATGCTTTTGTAATTAAAATTTAAGTTGCCATCTCTGTTATAATTATTTTTGATGCTCCACATTTTTTTTGCAATTATTCTACCTCATCCTATTTTCTTGTAATTTTTTAAATTTTATTTAACACATGATGTGTCATGGTAAATATGAATTTGGATAATTCATTAACCCAATAAAGCCAATACTGTAATAATACATTATTATAATTACATATAAAAAAAGAACATTATAACATTACTGTTGTCACGGATCCTCCTCCTCTGGTTAAAACAGTTTCTTAATTTTTTCTCCATTCTCTCGCTTTCCAAATCTTTATCCAAATAATTTATAAGCCCTATTTTGAATCAAACTTTTTATTAGTTTTATTTTCAATTGTTTGATTTGTGTACTTGCTTTTAATTTTGAATTTTGCCTCTTTTTTTTACCAATATATATATATATATTTCTTTTCTAAGAGCCGGAATGGCTAAATGCTAAAACCATGACTTTAAAAGACTTAAAAAAAATCTGTATTAATATTATTATTTTTTTCTGCGAAGTAGCAGAGTTCTCACTCGAAGAAACAGAGGAGCACTTCCACAATATTATGCTGCAAAAATAATATAAACATTTGACTACTCTTAAAATAGCCAAAAAATTACTTGCCACAAAGCTCTTTAGCACCAAAAGATGGAAAAGCCCTCCGACACTAATCAAGATTCCAAGATGATCATAGCAAAGATGAAAGTTCAAGAACTCGAGTGAGAGACACGGAGCATACGCACAAACCCTCCCACTAAATACCTATTCACAAAATAATGGTTTAACGATATGGATCTATGGTTACAACTTAAAATAGGATACATATGGGTTCTGTACATACAAATCAAACACCCCCACAACTTTCTTCTTTTTCACGGCGACTGTTTGAAGCAATGAAAAGAAATTGTACCTTCTTCTGCTGATTATTTGGCTCATTTGCTTATTCATCACGGTTCAAGAAAGGAAAAATTCCAGAAAACACAAATGCGGTCCACTTCTTTCTATGTTGTCAACAGCACGATGAGAAAAATTAGAAGAGGGGATAAAATAGAATGAAAGAAAAAAAGGGTGACAAATTCAGTAAAAAAGATTGAAGGTTTCACAAAATTGACTTCAGCTAAAGAAAACCTGTACCTGAATATACATGTGGTCTCACTTTACACTTCAATTTCTCTCGCTTTTTTTGTTTGTTTGTTTGTTGGCATTCAAGCATTCTCATCTCTTCTATCACCATCCTCTTCTCGACCAGACACAGCATTTAGCTGCTGTTGCAACTAGAAGCAGGCAAATCATGGTAACAAAAACTATGTAATTAGCAATTATCAATGATACATGCAACCCATACCCACCCTCCATTAAAGACAGTCACCCCTTTCCTCTCTATAAGGTAGTGTTTGGTTCACTGGAATGATCATTCCATTAGAATATTCATTCCATCCATGTTTGGTTGACTAAAAAAATAATGAAAAATGTATTGCAAATGGATTCATCATTGTAAGGGAATGAACATTCTATAGGGAAGCTAAAAGGATGATCATTTCATTCCATTCCATCTCATTCCGGTGAACCAAATAAAGCATAAGAGGGAGAGGAAGGAAATACATAGAGCATGCCTAGGAAGTAAGGTCACAGTATTTTACTCATTTAAAAAAAAAAGAAAAAAAAAAGAGGTCGCATTATTATATCAATTACATTTCCCAAGTCAATAACCAACCCAAATAAAAAGTTAAGTTCCACCCACTTCCAAACTATTAAATTGTCAAAGCGACTCACCTGTATGAATTTCAGTTTTTCAGAAGTTAACTCGCTAGTCAGGGTAATCATCCTGCAATGAGAGAGAGGGTGAGGAAGGCAGAGCATTAAATAAACTTCCCATGAAAATTTACTACAATATTCAACAGTACTGTTTTTCAGTATTATTTTTAAATATTTGTAGACTAACCTAGCTTGAAGCTCAGAAATCTTGATAAGCAGTAAATGCTCCCTTTCAGAAACAGCTGATTCAACCTGTGAAATAATAATAAAAAAAGCTTTAGGGCTTGTTTGGTTTGTTTTTGGGAGAGTTGTTTTTGAAAAAAATTTTGGGAAGAGAGTATAGAAATTTTTTTGGTTTATTTGGTTGTATATTTTGGGAGAGTTGTTTTTTTGGGAGTTTGGGATGATTTGATATTTTTGAGTAGATGTGTGTGAGAGAAAAAGTGATTGAGAAGGAGAGAGGAGAAAGAAAAAGTGATTGATTGATGTGTAAGAGAGAGAAAGTGATTTTGGAAATTTTTTGAGAAAAACTCAAACCAAACAATTTTTTAGAAATTTTTTTCCAAAACTCATCTCCCAAATACAAACCAAACATACCCTTAATGTCTATGATTGATCATTATATTTTCACTCCAACAGGCCTTACAGAAAAATGATTATAAAGGTTTACAGAGATGCCAAATAATCTAAAAAATGGATAATGAATCATCAAATAGGAACAGTGGCGACTCCAAATTTTTTTTATCAGTGGTGTCAATCAAAAACTGAAATTTCATATATTCTATAGAAAATCACTTCAGTCATATCTATCACCTTTCTGAAATTATAAACAAAAGCAAATTGCAATATATTAGTACTATTGTCTAATATATGAACTTCTACAATTGACCTCGATGAGATTTTATATTTTGAAATTGTTGCATAATAACCTTGTTATCAATGCTATGAAATACTTTCTTTCCAATACATGTAACCAAACAATCATTCATCCATTGAAAACTAAGGTCGTGTTTGTTTTACTCCATAAGTGGTGGGATATGATTGGTAATCTGGTAGATCACACACAAATCATGTTTATTTTGCAAAAATGCCATGGGTCATCAAACAAGTCCAATAATGAGAGGAGACAACACACGTATAGTACAGAACATGACTGTTAGATGTTTTAATAACTATGAACCTAAGCGTTGACCATCAGTGTTGACAGATGATATATTCCATTGTTCCTATAATCTGAAGGAAACATTGAAATGGGAACGCTAATTTGACAAGAGACTAAAGCAAGGATTAACAATTACATGTGTTAAGAAGCACATATCCATATGACAAAAAGATCCTTATGAAGAGCAGACGTATTTAAGCACTGAATTCAACTCAAGCCAAAAAACAAGGTAAAAAATGCACTTACAATTCCGTTATTCTCTGAACTGTGAGGTAATGGGAGCAACTGTCCATTTTGAGAAGCTGAAACTAAAAGCAGGGTAAACCAATATAATTTATGAGAACCACCTCTCACTAATGTACACACATTAAATACTGCAATGATGAATCTTCTACTCACCATCTGCTAACTCAGCTGGTTGTAAGCTACTCAACAAATTCATAATGAGATCCTGGTATTACAAGAGCAATAACAATAAGAAAGTCATTGGTTCCAAAAATAAAGTGTTTTGAGGCAACTTCAGAATCAAATTTTGAACTATATAACCTGTTGAATTGATGTCTGGTGGAAAAGGTTCTGAAGGTGGGGCATGAGAATTGATGCAGGTAAATTACTGTTGTACATTTCCTTAGGTAACTGACCTATGGGCTGAAAACACAGTTGAAAATATTGCATCTTTCACTTATTACTCGAGTACCATTAAACAGTACAGTTCACTCTACTAATAACCAGTTAGATAATTATAGCTAAACACTTGGAGGAGATAAAATTGTCGTCACTTCATTATACTATTATACATGAAAAAAAAAAAGAAAAAAAATTCATTTTGACTCTTTAGAATAGCCTATGGGCTGCTATGTCTCACACTGGTGACATACACGTACTCCTGTCCCTGTATGCATGTGTCCACATATATGAGAAACATCAATCATAATGTTCTATTTTCAGTAGATTTTATTCACTGTAACATCTTCGTTGATTTTTTACTTGACCTTATACAATAAGGTGATTTTACATCACTGGAAGCTAAAAATTTAGCTGAACTGAATCATTCAAAAAAGCTCAGTTCACAAACCATTTGTTTGGACTCAAATATCCAGTCTCCAACACTAGCAGACTTCCTTAGTGGTGAACCCTAGAAATCACAAGAATCTAACATCAAGAACTACACATCCAAAATAAGTTATATTATAAAATCACCTCAACATCGGCCACTCACCTGTGAAGATAGTCGAGGAACTGTACATAATGGAATATCCTAGAAAACAAAGTTAAATTAGCAGAGGTCAGTAGATAAACCAAAATATCAAAAAAATAGAGCTGTACCTTTACAAGATCTACATTTTCTGAGGTTACAGAAAACCGTCCTTTTATTTGCACTAGATTGGTCTTTGACTTGTCCTCCAAAGAATCTCTAAACCCTGTTGGTAAAAAAATGAAAAAAGAATATATTGATGCCACAAACTTCTTAGCAGAACTGCTTTCAAGAACACATTGCACAAAAATGATTTCAATAAAACAGTAGCCACTTGAATTGTAATAATAATAGCAATAAAAGCGCTAGTGATATGTCTTCATTTCAAATTGGACATTATCATTACCTCCTGAAGATTTTATGGGAGCCGATAAACTGTTTGCTGAAGCTCGGTTAGGAAGCTTCAATGGACCACTAAAGCTGGGTGCTTTTCGCACCTCACGATGAGGTTTTTCGACTAATGGTTGATTTTCATGGTCACTCCTGACAACAAATAAAACATTTATTCTCTGGCTGGAGCACATGACAATATCCTAAAAAGCACAAACACTTCTATGAAGAAGGCCTGTCATGTCAAATAGGACACTCTGCAAAACTCCTAAAAGCATGTCCAACACTTCTTCAATGCATCTTAATTAAAATTTTAAATTCATAATAGTGAACACTTAACAGATGGTTCTTGGACTTTTCAGCAACACTTGAACCCTCTGAACATGACCTATGTGATGAATCTCTTCAAAGTAAGAATGTTCTGCATTCTTTTTGCAATTGTTTTACATTCTTTAAAATGCAATTGTTACTTGAATGATATCTTGACGTTTAAGTTATATAGCCTTTTTATTTTAATTAGTGTTTTGGTTTTTTATTAACTTCGAATAAATTATTCATTTGGTTGACATATAATCAATTTTTAACATATCCCAAGCATTTCATGTTTTGTATGTTTTTAAAATCACCATGTTGGCGTGTTTGTGTGTGTGCTACTTACGCAATATCAATTGATAAGCTATTGAGGCTTCACGTAATGAAACTATGCAAGCCTGACATATTGCTTACGTTGATTACATAGTAAGCATGTATTCCATAGAGGAGTCCATGTAAGGGAGAAAAAAAAATACAAAAAAACACAACATGAGTTTCCCAAAAGTAAAAAAAGTTTATTATTTTATTTTTTGCCCATACTTGAGGAAAATATTGTGGACTTAACATAAAAAAGTTACGAAACTCTTAACACACTCATCTTTACAAGAGGTTAAATTCTGCATCCCAAGCTGTTACCCAAGAGTAGAAGTAATAAGCCATTCATTTCTTCTGGCATTCATTATGCTAGAGGTTGACTAGCACACAAATTAACAAAAACATGCAATTTCTGCATTTGAAGTTGCTGCCACAGGAATAACTATTTACCCACATATGGCAATAAGCAACATAAAACTTCAAAGTCCAGTCAGGCTACATCAATTAAAACACACCAACAAATAACTAATCTACATCAATGACTGCTTGTACTGTGGTCGTTATCACTTGATTGATCTTTTGCAATTAAATTATCAGAAACAGTAGCCAAAAGATAGCGATATGATAACACATTATTTGAAATATACAGTAAAATACGACAGTTTAGTGGAATAATTCATCCCACTTCACATATGATTGAAGACCATCTTGTGTGTGTTCCTATTGCAACATAATTTCAAGCAGTTGCAACTTATATGGACAGATAAAATAAGAAATGAACTAGGATGAACCTTTCAAAGATATGCCCCCTTTCTGTTACTGAATGATTTAGAACAATGCTAGGCATGAGTGGCCCACTCTGAGTCTGGCGGCTTTTGCTAGCTGATGTTTTAATCTTGGCTAGTACAATATCCCTCTCTGAGGTTGATGGCAGCGGCTCAGTTCTTGATCCATTTTTCTCCGGATCTATTTTCCCTTGATAGTCAGACTCAAGTAAATCACTTTCTGAAACTTTTCCCTTATTGCTCAAGCACTCAGCTGAAGAAAATTCATCACTAGTTTGTTCACTGAAACAGTAATATGTAACAAAGAGAAAAATTAATGTAGACTAAAAGTGAGCAAAACCAAAGACAACAAATGAACAACAGAAACCAAGTACATAATTTTGAGAAACAGGTTGAAAAGGATGATTTGGTCAAAGAAGCTAGCATCATACAGAAAACTGCAGAAACAGTAAAGTTAAATTGGAGAGGAAATACAAAAACAAATTGGATACTTAACAAACACTGATAGTAGATCGATACAAAGCCTGGAGGTTAGGAAGTCAGGTCAAATTACCCAGGCACTACAATGACAGGAGATAAGTTAACGATATTTTCATCGATTAACTCATCCAAATATGTATTTATATATATACACATGATATATATACATGATAAAACCACAAAGTAGCAGTAAGAAGATTATTCATGCTTCTAACAACTGGATGTTGATTTTAATCATGAAGATATTCACACACTAAACATCCTTATTATACAATGCTAAAAATAGAAAGATAACAAGAAAACCTTACAACTTACAAGGGTTAAAGGAGTCCTCCCATAGAGGCTGAGGAAACCATGTCCAACAGCCCCCAAACCAATAAATAAATAAATAATAGACATATTTTCAAGTCCCTAGAACACTGAACTTGGCCAAATTTTTGCATTTGTCAAAGAGATTTATGGAATGCTTCTGAGTTTCAAGTCTCTTTGTACATGACCATCTTTACTATACTTTTTTCTCATCAGAAAAGCTCACCAAATTAGCTGTTTATGTCCTTAGCAGTAACTGGCACAACATGTGATAAAATCCATCATCAGAATTGTTACATCCCATAATAGTCAACAGTTGAGCAATTGAGACAATAAATGGGGTTGCATCTTTCTTTGAACTAGTTTACAGTTCTAAAAATTATATCAAATCATTGGATTTAAAACCATACCAAAATGCACTTCATTCAGGGAATATTTGCTTTAGGGTTCTAGATTCTTATCATTTGAACTGAATATTACAGAATCAGTCCAAAATGTGCAATCAATTCAACAATAACACGCAAGGTTCTGAAAAGCGGTTATGGTCGCCATAACGGTGGCGGTGGGGCAGTCGCGGTTGTGGTTGCGGTGTGTAAAGCCTGTAGCGTAACGGTTGCGGTAACCGGAACCGTGAATATTTTTATTTTTCGCACAATTTGAAAAAAAACTTACCGATACGCACAATTTTTTTCTATGATCATATTTATTGGGTTTTAAAATACATATTGATCAATTTTTAAAATTTTTTAAGTTTGATATAATATATTTCATATTTTTAAATCACTATAAATTGAGTTTTTTACATTTTATTTTAATAATTAATGACTTTATATTATACAAAAAATCAATCACTAACTATTATATATAAGATAAATAATGACAAAAGCAAGAGAATAAATAAAAGCCTAAATATATATATATATTTTAATCAAGCCAAATAGACAATGATCACATTTATTATTATTATCATTATTATTTTCAAACAATATATAGATAGACACACACAAACAAAATGGTTGAATGATAGTAGCTGAATAGAATAGTATAGGTCTTACAATTTCAATAAATCAATAACATGTTCTTCATCTTCCCTCTTCTCTCTCTATCTCTCTTCCCCCATTTTCAACTCTTTTTTTTTTTTTTTTTTTTCTTTTTTTGTGTTTTTTCGAAAGAAGCAATTCGGAACCGTTACGTAACGGTGTGTAACAGGCCGTTACGGCACCATTACGACCGCTATGGCAGCCGCTACGGTCGACACACCTGTGAATCTTAATCACACTGCAAAAGCGGCCGTAACGAGTGGTGGTAACTACCACAACCGTTACGTAACGGTTGCGGCCGCTTTTTAAAACCTTGATAACGCGATAGAAATTATCAACATTTCAGACAATTAAATCGGTTTAATTTGAAAATGTGCCACGAATTTGACAATAACTACCATTTTAAGATTAATATGTTGAAACCAAAATGGAGTAGCAAGTATATGAATGCTAATACAAGCCACAGAACAATTACCTGCAAATAATGTCATTTGTGGAAATTGATTTCCCCACACTAAATCTCGAATTCGATGCTTTCTGCCAATTATAGCAAGTAGTTTATACATTAATTTCTTTATGAATGCACAATTTTCAAGTGAACAATTGCCTGTGTGAAATATTGGTAACCGAACATCTAATCTGGCATACATGGAGAGCTACAAAATAAAATAAAATTAATAAAGATTAAAAAAATGCAATGACCTTATAATTAAAAACTGGTTTCATGCTTTCATATTCTTCCCTGATTTCTTGTATTTCGTCATCATCTTGGACCTGTAGCAGGATCAGTTCCACCTTTCAAAACAATTAAAAAGCAAACTACACAAGAAGATCATCCTTGCATGAAGAATTTGATTGATCATTTGTGAGTAAAGTGTAGGACATTTACCAAGGATGCTTGGACTTTCAAATCCTCAATATCAAAGTTCCAGGCGCTAACACCTCGCTGGTACTCACTCTGATCAGGACAAGTGAGAAATTACAAAAAGAAAAGACAAAGAGAAAGAAAGAAATACAAATCATTTCAGTCTACACAAAATCCACAAATTTTATTTCAATTTATGAAGTTTTTGTTTGATGCAACTGATTAGAACCACAGTTATAACTCAGGTATTTACATAAAAGACTCAAGAATATTATAACTGCCTGCTCCTTTACTGAGAGTATTTTTGCATTATATATTACTCTAAATATATATACAAAGTGATCAGGTGATTGTACAACATGTTATAACACAGCAGTGTTACTTCTTCGCATGGCAGTGGAGTTAGATAGTAAGAAGTTTAAATATAGATTGAAATATTACACAAGAAGGCAATGTGTCAGTTTTGCAATACTTGTGATGAAACTACGGGTCACGTACTCCTTCATTGTCCCCTGGTCTAGAGGATTTGATCGAATATAATGCTTTGGTGGGGGTTACAGTGGGTTTCCCCTGCTTCAGTTTCTGATCTGCTTAATTGGTGGTTTGGTTTCCGGTTTAAAAAATTGGAAAAAAGGATTTGGGAGGGTTTACCATTTGCAGTTTTATGGTCTGTGTGGAACGTGAGAAATGATTGTAAATTTAACGGGGCTCAGTGTGCAATCTCGTTAAACTTCGAGTTGCTCTATGGCTCAAGTATAATTCTGGAAGAGTTGATGCCTCAGTTGAAGATATTATCTTCAGGTTGAACTCTCTGCAGGGCTGCTAGAATAGCTTGTTGCATGAATGGTAGTTTGGGAGTGCAGTGTTGTCTCATCCGAAGATTTGTGGGATGTGGTTTGTTGTCTGGTATGTCTGTGGTGTGGTCTGGGCTGGTGGCTTGCCATCCCTGTTGTTGGTTGTGGTTCTTTGTATTATGTCTACTTATTCCCATAGGTGCTTGCATATGATTGTGCATTTCATCTTGTGCCAACCTAGTTGGAATAAGGCGATTTTGCTATGATGCTCGTTGCACCCTCCTTGCTCTTATCTTTACTAATTGCATCCTTTGATAGTATTAATAAAGATTTCTTCTTTGCCAATCAAAATAAAATAAAATAAAATAAAATAACAACTATGTATACTGCTGGGACAACTGTAATTTGGTTCTGTAGTAAAAATAATTGACTAATTGGCAGGACAAATTGTCCAGAGAAAATTTTGATGATACAAACATCGACATATGTAGATAGAGTTGGACACTGTTATTCAAGATCTTGTGAATCTAATATTGTTCTTCTTCTCATTTCTTTTTTTCTTGTTGGGCTGGTAGCTATATACCTTTTTCCTTTGTGGATAGTTTCAATATGGATAATTTATAGCCCTCCGGTTAAAATTCTCGACAAATGTTATTTTCCCACCTCATTCAGCCAGATTGCTGCTTATAATTAGAAATCTTTTGGGCCAAAAGAAGCAACTATCCGGATTCCTCATGTATAAGGAACACAATAATATATATTTTTATATTGTTCTAGTAGTCATCAGTTGTCACTGCACTTAATAAATCTATCAACTGCATCTTTCGTTTGACATACATTATATGATAAGCTATCTATGAAACTATGATTTCTGGACATGTTACTCATTTTGAGATTATAATGACAAGAAGTTGAGAAATGATTTTCATGATTGATTACTCTTGTTAAGAATGCTATCCATATATATACATATATATATTTAAACTTGCTCCAGTATCATGTTATTCACTGAGCTTGTGAGCTCACCCATTTTTGTTCACATGATTTTAGGTGATCAGGACAAAAAATGGGTCCCCCCCATGGGGTATGTGCTTAAAGACTATCTTGGCTTGGAGGCCCATGTGACACTTTTGGACTTTTCGAGACCTGTATATATTTTTAGAGAAAATTACAAAAATAACCTTGTAATTTCAAACATTGTATTTTAATTTTTTCATCAAACCATGGAAGTTTGAACTGGTACCAATTTTAACCATTTGTTTATATCCATTAACTTGTCTAACAAAAGAAAATACATGTGGCACCTCTTACTAGCTCTTTCAACTTGATATCAATAGCCCAGCCTCACTAAATCACAATCACCTTTTATCAACCATCAACCATATAAAAACCATTTTTATTGTCAACCCTATCATGCACTAAACGCACCCAATCAAACCCACCTCTCATTTTTTTTCTTCCCTTTTCTTCAGTAGTTTGATCTCAGGTTTCTGTAACAAATTTAGAAGATTTGGAGTCAGAGGCGCTGGATGGAGCCGGAGTTGAGAGGGGCAAGGCATTGGTAGTGGGCTAGGGGTTGAGTAGAAGTTTGTGGGGGAGGCGCTGAATGTGTGGGAGGGGGAGGCGGGAGGCGCTAGTGGTGGGCTAGGGGCAGGAGAGTGTGAAGGAGCTGTTGATGGTGGGTGACGGTGGAGGAACTTGTAGTGGGCGGAGGGCGGTGGAGGGGAGTCCGAAGTGAAGCTGTGCCATGAAAATAAAAATCAATTTCAACCACCAATCAACTTTCGAACAATGTAAATTCGCAAATTGCTCATGTGAAAATCAAAATTCACATATACAAATATTGTGTATATAATAAAACTTCATTGTCTGATTGTAAGAAATTTCTTTGGCAATTAAGGTTGCTCTGGTGTAAGGGCTTAGTCCGTTTGTTTAGTTCTTCATTGTACATTTGTATATTGTGTATATAATAAATCTTCCTTACCTAAAAAATTTTGGTCAGAATGCTACACGCAAGGATCTAAAAATGAGATACAGCAAAGCAGTCACTTGTAGTAATCGTGTCCATACATAACAGGTGCAACATTTTGCAGGTATGGGTGTTGCATGAAGGAAGGTCTACAAAGGGGTATAATAACACTGAGAATACAAAAGAGGAAACTCAAAAGAGAACAAAATTTTTAATCCAAACATTTACTTCCAAGTTCGAAGTACTGTCTCTAACCTGTGATATTGCTTCTTGTTCTGCTGAAGGCATTTTCTTCAATGCTAGTTGCGCAGCATCTTTACGCTGCACAATTTTCCCATGTCCATTAAATAGATATAACAACAAAAGAAAAAGCAAGTCCAGTTTCATTACACTATGACAGCATACCTGGAGGGCTTCCACACGATTCCACAGTGGTGGCAAGTCAGCAAAGAGTTTCTTTACAGAAAGCTCTGGAGGCTTGGCCTGCTTGAAAAAGGAGTGTTTTAACAATTTTTCTGCAGTTGGCCTCTTTGTCTGATCTTTCACCAAGCACATTGCAACCATTTCTTTAAAAGACTGTTCGCAACAAAAAAATCCTTTAATATGTTATAATGTGAACAATATAGGTCTATCCCAAAAATGTTCACCAGCCAAAATGAACACTGATACCTTAGAAAACTTTTTATCACGGTCGGAATCAAGTCCAGGAGGGGCATTTTGTATAGTCATTAAGAGAACCTATGGTAGAAGAGAAGTAAACATATGTTGAGGTTAGCATCCTTGAATATTTTGTGAATCATCCTCGAATGGTAAGCATGTACCTTCATTGGAGGGTACTTTGAAAAGGGTGCATGACCATGAGCCAACTCCAATGCAGTAATTCCAAATGACCAAATGTCAGCCCTGTAAAACAATGATAGCACAGTAACCAAGTTAGCAAACTTCGTATCCTACCAGCTGAACTCACCTACCTACCCTAACCTTCAGTGGGGGAGCTGCATAGGGCCTGGTTTTAAGAACTTCAATTTTATCAATACCTGTGAAAAAATTTCTCGCTCTGAAATTTCATATATGCCTCCTAATTCTTTATTGCTCCTCTTTCCTTTTCTAAACAGGTCTACTAACACATAGTATATTTGATGCAGGACAAGTAGTGGATTTACAAAACAGAGGCTATTTGAAGGCCTAAACAGTGTGTGCTTTAGGGTTTTAAGGGTTAAATTAAAGGCTATTAGGTAGGGGAAGAGATTAGGGTTGCTTTGGAGATGATTGGATAGGGTTTTGAGGTTGAAAAGTGCACTTCTAGAGGGCTGTGAATAGTAATCCGAGAATAGTAAATTAAAACAGAAAAGAAGAAAGAAGAGAAGAAGATAGGTCTAGGCATCGCACCTAGATTTTATAGGCATTACACCTAAGGTTTGATTGCATCATACAATCCATAAAGAAGCTTCAAAGTTCTCAATTTTTTTCCCTAAAATATCAACTCTATCAATTATAAGCATTATATGACTTTATATAGGACTAGAAGACTTTCTAAACCCACTAGAACAAAAAAAGGAAACTATTAAAATATCTTCTTTTTTTTTTTGATAAATAAATGGACTTTATTAGAAAAACATCAAGATGATGCAAGGAATACAAAAACCACCCACAAAGGGCCAAACCAAACTATCCAAATAAATTCTCCACAACATCTACAAAAACCAAAACACTTGGATCAGCTGAACCCGTAACCCAACTATGCAAAACCAGCAATAACTGACTCTCAAGTCAGGAAACGGAACGGCACTCATTCTGAAAAACACGCCTATTCCGCTCAAACCACACCAACCACATCAAACAGTGAGAAGCAAGAACCCAAGCCTTCCAACGCCGCTTCCCCAACCCTAGCCCCACCCCAACTTTGAACCACATCCAATATCGACACTGGTTGCACCCAAACCATCCCAAACAAAGCCACAATAGAAATCCAAAGTCGAGACGCAACTGGACAATGTAAAAGTAAGTGATCCACCGTTTCCGCATCCCTACAGCACATGCAACACCAATTAACCAGAACCTGCCCCCGCCGATGCAAGTTATCAATAGTCAAAATCTTCCCCAAAGCAACAGTCCAAACAAAGAAAACCACCTTGGAAGGTGAATCCGTTGCCCAAATGCTCTTCCAAAGAAACACTACCCCACTCCCCCCCTCAAGCATATCATAAAAAGAAGACACTGAAAACACCTCTTTAGATCTTGAACAATCCCACACCAAAGAGTCCGCTCCATACTCCCCATCCTTGACACCATACGAAACGCCCAGTAAGTCCACCAGTTGATCCAACTCCCAATCGTGTACATAACGGCGAATGTGAACATTCCAAACAAACAACTGCCCCTGCCTAACTCTAACAGACTCCACCAACTCCTCCCCATCCGCAGCAAGAGCATAAACCATAGGAAACATACTCACCAAAGGCACCTCGTTACACCACCGATCCTACCAAAAGCGAGTCCTCCTCCCTACCCCCTCCTTAATCCGAGTCCTATCCCAAAACTCCATCCACCCTAGCCAAATCCCTTTCGACAACCCACGACCATGAGGATGGACCACCCCCTTTGAGCACCACCCCCCTCTGGCCACCCCATACTTCGCCTCCACCACCCTCCTCCATAACCGCTCCCTCTCCATAGCAAAACGCCACAACCATTTCCCTAAAAGAGCCCGATTAAAACCCACCAACCTCCTGACGCCTAGGTCCCCCCTCTCCTTAGGAATACAAATCCTATCCCAAGCCACCAAATGATAATGAAAATCCTCCCTCCACCACCCCACAAAAAATCTCGTTGCAACTTTTCCAACCGTCTAGCAACCGCCACAGGAATACATGCAACGACATAAAGTATGTTGCAATACTAGAAAGGACACTCTTGATCAATGTGAGCCGCTCTCCCTTAGACAAATACTGCTGCTTCCACCCCGCCAACCTTCGCTGCACTCTATTTACCACCCTATCCCACACCCCTTTCGCCTTAAAAGTAGCCCCCAAAGGAAGCCCCAGATAGGAAACTGGTAACTCAGCCACCTTACACCCCAAAATAGCTGCCAACATCGGAAGACAAACCACCTTGCCCACAAGAATTAATTTTGACTTGGCCAAATTAACCCGGAGCCTAGACACCGCCTCAAAGCACAACAACACACATTGTAAATGCCCAATTTGATCTGCATCCGCATCACAAAAGATAAGCGCATCATCAGCATAAAAGAGATGAGAAACCACCAGAGGAGCAGGCCCCTGCCCCACCTCGAAACCCGTCAACAAACCCCCTTGAACCGCCTTGGACAATAAACGACTCAACGCCTCCATCACCAAAATAAACAATAAAGGAGATAGAGGATCCCCTTGCCGTAATCCTCACCATGTAGGAAAAAAGCCTGCCGAAGTGCCATTAACCAAGACTGATAACCACACCCTAGAAATGCAAAACTGAATCCACTGCCTCCATCGCTCCCCAAAACCCATCCGCTGAAGCACATACAATAGAAAATTCCAATTCACATTATCATAAGCTTTTTCAATATCCAGCTTGCACATAATCCGCGCCTTCCCTTGCCGAACCCACGAGTCCACACATTCATTAGCCACAAGCACAGCATCCAAAATTTGACGATCCCCCACAAACGCATTCTGAGACTCTGACACCACCCCCTCCAGGACACCCCGAAGTCTATTGGCCAGAAGTTTAACCAATAATTTGTAGACACTACCCAAAAGACTGATTGGCCGAAACTCTCTAATATTCTCTACCCCACCTTTCTTGGGAATCAAAGTAATAAAAGTGGCATTAAGACTCTTATTAAACTGTCCCTCCTGATAAAACTGATTAAATACAGCCATCATTTCCGCCTTCAACACCCCCAACATTGCTGGAAGAAGGCCATGAAAAAGCCATCCGGCCCAGGGGCTTTATCCCTGGACATACTTCTCAATGCACCCCAAACCTCCTCCTCCGCAAACGGGCACTCCAACATCAACACCACCTCATCTGAAATAGTATAAAAAATAACTCCCTCCAAATCCGGTCGCCACCCCTCTCCTTCATCTTTGAAAAGATGCTGGTAGAAACCCACGATACCATTCTTGATATCCACTTCTGAGGAAAGCAGCACCCCATTGACCGACAACCGCCCTGTCTGATTCACCCGCCAATGAGCATTTGCCATCCGATGGAAAAATTTAGTATTGCGGTCCCCATCCTTCAACCACAAGCACCTGGACTTCTGGCAATAACTAGTCTCCTCCATCCTAACAATCCGCCCATAATCCTTTCGCGCCCCCTCCCGACACACCACATCATCTGCCGACAAGCCCTCTCTTTCTTCCTTCTTATCCAACCCCTGCAATATCGACAAAGTACTCGCCTTCTGTACCTCCAACTGACCAAACACCTCCTGATTCCACCACTTCAAATCAGATTTAAGCAGCTTTAACTTTTGAGCCATCCGGGTACTAGGCAACCCGGCCACACTATAACTCCCCCACCACTCCTTTGCTGTCTCGCCAAAACCTTTGGCCTGTAACCACATATTCTCAAAACGAAAAGGTGTTGGGCCACACCGCACTCCCCCACTATCCAATAGGACAGGCCAATGATTCGAAACCGGACACTGTAATCGAGCCTGGAACATCTGGGAAAAATGCTCTTCCCAATCCCCTGTGACCAGGAATCTATCAATACAAGACATTGCCCGACCTTCGGACTAGGTATAACCCCCTCCCTGTAAGGGCATATCGATCAACTCCATCCTATCAATAAAAGAGGAAAACGCCTTCATCGACCCCGTCACCTGCCTGTAGGGGTGAGCAGCGAATATACCGATTCGCCAAAACCGAACCGAACCGAACCGCCGCATTTTGGACGGATGCGTGATGACGAGCGGACGGTTGCGGATTGATTTTCTCAAATCCGCCAATTTGGCGGACGGATGGCGGATTTGAGATTTTTTGGCCTCAATCGAGCCAAACCGCCAAATCGCGAGTACTCCTAGTAATTTATAAGACTTTATATTTTCAATTTGTTTAAATATTACGTTTGTGTTTTCAATTAAAAAAGAGTTTAAATATTCTGTTGAAAAAAAGTTTTCAACTTGAATATATTTTTTGAATTGAAAAAAATAAACGTATTATTCATATATATTTTTTAGTTTTTAAATGTAACTCTAAAAATAATAAATAGAAAATATGATATATGCTGGTTGCTTTTTGTTTTCAAAAACATATGTAGATGTAACAATACAGAGACATTCAATCTCTACTACTGCTCTGTTCATGTTTTTGGTGGTTTGAATTGTTATTATATTTTAAGAATCACAGATTATAATACTTTATGGGGATGAATCATACTGTGATTGTAATATGTGGATGAGGCATGCAGTGATCGTGATATTCTAAAGTTTCAAACTTTTTTTCTTTGGATAAGGCATACAGTGATTGTAATACTTTTTTAAGTCATTGACTGTAATACTTTTTTTTTCTTTTTTTTGTTTGAGGAAGTGCACAAGTTGAATTATATTGAAAATTTATAAAATTTTAAACCGTCAAACCTCCTGATTCCACCACTTCAAATCAGATTTAAGCAGCTTTAACTTTTGAGCCATCCGGGTACTAGGCAACCCGGCCACACTATAACTCCCCCACCACTCCTTTACTGTCTCGCCAAAACCTTTGGCCTGTAACCACATATTCTCAAAACGAAAAGGCGTCGGGCCACACCGCACTCCCCCACTATCTAATAGGACAGGCCAACGATCCGAAACCGAACACTGTAATCGAGCCTGGAACATCTGGGAAAAATGCTCTTCCCAATCCCCTGTGACCAGGAATCTATCAATACAAGACATTGCCCGACCTTCGGAC